ACCTTTCAGCAGCATGCAGTTCCTCCTCAAATTTCCTCGGACTTTCTGGATGATACGGCGCCAAAATTTCATCTAGCTGCACTTCATCGAGGGCATTTTCGATCGTCGTTGAGGTAGACGTGACTCTCGCCAAACGATGCAAAAATTCGCAATCCTTCTGAAAAACGCGGAAATTATTTTAAGAAGCAGAACGAGTTCAAATGAGTGATACATATCACTCGACACACTTTACGCACAAGGATACGCCATCATAGTTGTCGTTCAGCTCGCCCGTATGCTGTACCAGCGTCATTACAAGAGCGCGTCAATTAAACGATAACCACTATCTGAGGGATACGCGTCGCGAGTGTCTGGAGCTGAGCTGGACAATATAACGGCATCCTAAAGCGACGAAATGATCAGGTGCAACGCTACGCAGCTGGTCACCCTATCTCCCATGTCTTATTTTGAGATTCAACCTCACCCGAAGTCCCCGAATCTCATCGCGAATGTTGATAGGGAAGTTGGCAGCCGGTGTCGCGATGCAGCGCATTTCTCCAGACGTCCGCGAATCCGTGAGTTCAGATAGCGCTTGATCCAAAGCTTGTACGTTTGCCTGATCCACTTCACAATCGTTGAGGATACGCTCCACAATTTTTCGACGCACGTTTTGCATCTAAATTCATGAAACATTTTTGAGCCTGCATTCATATATCGTTGATTCGTTGACCGCACGGACTGGACACCATTGCTGAGCAAGCGCCACGAGGTAAAACGCTCGTCCCAGTGCAGATATTGTACCAATCGTGCTCTCGCGATATTTTAGAAGCGCCGCGCTTGGTCCGCAACGTTTGAGCAATCTGTGCGATCAACAAATGGACGATATTTTGTAGTTCTCCAAGCAAATAAAACCTGAAGGCAGAGGCTCAGCAAATTTTGTTTTCCACTTTTTCACTTTCTCGAGACCTTCTCGCCATGAGGAACCCAAATCCAGGCTTTTCCGCTCATGAAAATAGCGAAAATGAGCGTTTTTCAACGCTTTTAAGTCCGCATTCAATGCAAAGTCTATCATGTTGCCGGAAGTCTTCCGCGCCCCCTCTCTCTCCTTTCAAGCTCCGCCCACTTACGCGTATTTTGC